GCCTCCAGGCTCTGAGCTGGCTGTCAGCACAGAGCCCGATGCGGGGCTCGAACCCACGAACCATGAGATCATGACCTGAGCCAAAGTCGGATGCTTAACCAACTGAGCCACCCAGGCACCCCCAAAATTCCCCTAGTTTAAAATATGTATCTTAACATATTTTAAAAACAAAGAATAAAGGGGAAAATGCTTTATAAGTCATTTGTTATACTATCCCTTAGAGATAATTACTGTCAATATTTTGATGATTTTCCTTCCTGTCCTTTTTAATGCACATTAAAAAAAAAACCCAAAGTCTCTATCATTTCAAAACATGGAGCCTGCTTGGGATTCTCTCTCCTCTCCCTCTGGCCCTCCCTCCATTCATGCATGCAGGCTCTCTCTCTTTCTCTCTCTCTCTAAAAATAAATAAGTAAAGATTAAAAAAATAGAAAATGGAGTTCATATGCCATGTATATTTTATATCCTTCTTTTAATGCAAAATGACACTGTGAGCACTCTTCTATGTCCTTTCAATATTCTTTGAAGACATTATTGAATAGATAAGTTTTAATGGCTATATAAAAAGTATATTTGCTTATTATAATTTATTTGATCATTTTTGTTTTGCACAATTATCATTTTATAATTTTTGCTATTACAAACAACATGGTGATGAAAACCAGCATACGATTCTTTGTTAGTAGAATTATCAGGGAAAAGAGAATGAACATTCCTTGATGAAGTCTAATGGTTTTCCAGAAAGATGTGGCAAGTTACATATTATGAGGAGTATAAACAGTATCTAACTCAATGAAACGTCACCATCATCATGTTTCTTAAAATCCAAGTTATATATTTTACAGACACAGTAAGATGTCATAACATAGAGTAAGAGATGATTTAGTAACTAACTTGTTGTTGAATTTACACTATCATAATTTAAATAAAAATGTATTTCGTATGTATTTCATTTGAGAAATTAAAAGTTTAAATTATTGGTACCTTAAACAGAAAGGGTGACCAATAAATATTTGTTGAAAATTTGAAGTAATAAATGAATAAACCAAATGAAAACCTAACCATCATTTTTAAATTTTTATTTATTTATTAATGATTTTATTTATTTATTTATCTATTTATTTGTTTTATTTCTGAGAGAGAGGGAGAGAGAGACAGCATGAGCAGGAGAGGGTCAGAGAAAGAGGGAGACACAGAGTCCAAATCAGGCTCCAGGCTCCGAGCTGAGAGCAAGAGCTCGATGCGGGGCTTGAACCCATGAACTGTGAGATCATGACCTGGGCCGAAGTCGGACGCCCAACTGACTGAGCCACCCAGGCGTCCCAACCATCATCTTTTTAAAAAGTCAGGATACATGAATTCTAAGCCTCATATATCACAGTCTGCAACCTAGGTAAATTTAAACATTCCTTCCCAACTTACTTTCTTAATTTCTATAAGAGATAAAACAATAGTCTCTATTTCCATTTCACAAAGATGTAAGAAATATAAAGAAGGAAATATAACACAATGCCTTAAAAACATAACCTGTGAAATCAAATTGTCTAGGTTCAATTCTTGGCTCTGTTATGATGGGCAATTCATTAATTTGTTTGTCAGTTTTCTCAACTGTAAAATAGGGATGACAATATTTAACTCAGATAATTATTGTAGAGATTAAATGAGAAAATCCATGTTAAATTACTTAGAATCCTGCCTGTCAAACAGTAAATGCTCAATAAACATTCAATAATAGTTATTAATATATATAAAATTGATATATATGTGAAGTAATTGGTTTTAAAAATCTAGTTGGTATATAGATCACTTAAATCTCAGGTATTCTCAATTTAAAAACAACACACTGGAACAATATAGAGTTATACATTCCCCATAATTTTTAGAATCTGAATAATTAAGAAATAAAGTTAATCACAAATAAAATATAGTATTAAAAAAATAACTTTCTTTTTAAAGAGATATTCTTTCTGTGGCTTTTCACTTGACTAGATCCTTTTCACCTATCAAATCTTAGGTCAAATGTCCCCTCTTCAAATCAGTCAAGCCTTTACCTACTTAAATTTCCTCTATCATGCAGTTTTCACACTCTAGTTATTTATCTGTGTCTTCCCACCATAATGTATACTCAATGAAGGAAGAAGCTTAGCCTTTTCTGTAACTATGAATACACTCAGTTCAGACATTTAATAAATATCTGACAAATGACCAACAAATTGATGATATACAGTTGGCTAGGCACTGAAGGAGTTGGCATAAAGGCTACAAAGTTTCTTCAAAGATGGTCCTCTCATTAGGATTTCTCAAACATTTTTATCATGAACCATAGTCTAAAATACATTTTATATCAAGATCCAGTAAACATACATATCCATATAACTAAAGCAAGTTTCAGACCAAAATACCATGGCTACTATGTGTGATGAGTTTTGATATTTTTATTCCATTCTATTCTATTCCTTTTCATTAAAAATAATTACTACAGCATGCTAAATCAATTTTATATCACATTATCATGGAAAGACTTGAAGTGTGAAAAACACTGCTCAAGGTCAGAGGTTATTAAGCTCATATCTGAAAGGTGTGCTTAATCATCATATGCATGGAAAGGAAGAAATAAAAATGTCTGATCACAGATGACGTGATCACCTATGTAGAAAATCTGAGAGAATGGAAAAAAAAAAAAAAAACTGTCCTGGAATTAATAAACAATTATAGCAAGGCTGTAGGATACAAGGCTAATATGCAAAAGACAATTGCTTTCCTATATACCAGCAGTGAACAAGCGGAATTTGAAATTAAAACCACAATACTATTCACATTAGTGAAAAGTTGATAGGTTTAAATCTAACAAAATATGTACACAATCTATATGAGGAATATAATGAAATCAAAGAATAACTAAATAATTGAACAGATATTCTATATTCATCAGCAGGAACACTCAATTTACAACAGACACGTGATAAAAGATTATATCCTAAATATACAAATAACATCAAAACTCAACAATAAAAAACAACTTAATTAAAAAATGGGCCAATGACCCCAACAGACAACTCTCCAAAGATTTATAGATTGCTAATATGCATATAAAAAGAAGCTCCATATCATATGTTTTAATGTGCATCAGGGAAATGCACATTAAAACAATGAGATATCACTAAACACCTATCAGAATGGTCAAAATCTGGAACACCGACAACACTCAATGTTGATGAAGATGTGGAACCCCACAAGAACTTTCACACATCGCTGGTGGCAATGCAAGATGGTATAGGGACTTTGGAAGATAGTTTAGCATTTTTTTATACAAATAAACATACTCTTACCCATAAGATCTAGCAATCACACTCCTTAGTATTTACTCAAATGAGTTAAAAACCTAGGTCCACACAAAAACTTGCACATGGATGATTATAGCAGCTTTATTCATAATTGCCAAACTCTGGAAGCAATCAAGATGTCCTTTAGTAGGTGAAAGGATAAATAAACTGTGGTAGATCCAGACAATGAGATATTACTCAGCACTAAAAAGAAATGGTCTTTTTAACCGTGAAAAACATGGAAAAATCTTAAATGCATATTACTAGGTAAATGAAGCTAATCAGAAAAGGCCATACACTGCATGATTCCAACTATGACATTCTGGAAAAGGCAAAATTATGGAGACAGTAACATTATCAGGTTTCCAGGGGTTGGGAGTGTTGGAAGGGATAAATAGGTGTAACAGAATATTCTTAGGGAAATGAAAATACTCTATGATACCATAATGATGGATACACATTTGTTCAAATTCATAAAATGGAGAACACCAAGAGGGAATCATAATGTAAACTATGGGCTTTGGGTGATTATGATGTAGGTTTGTTTTATCAGTTCAGTGTAGGTTTATCAGTTCTAACAAATGTATCGCTTTGGTGTGGGATGTTGTTAAGAGGAGAGATATAAATAAATATGTAGATGCAGGGTGTATATGGGAAATCTCTGTACCTTCCCTATAATTCTGCTGTGAAACTAAAACTGCTCTAAAAAATAAAATCTTAATTAAAGGAAAAAAAAGAACATGTAGTTTTGTGTATGTAAGTCTGACGGTAAGGGAGGCTGTCATAGTTTTCAGATTCACGAAGAGGTTCTTGTCCCCTTAAATTTAAGGGCTTCTATTACCATATATTTATTATCATTTGTGAAATGTATAAATCATGTATAAAAATGTGGTTTAACATAGGGATGGCAGTATATGATAGAAAAAAACATTGATTCTGTAGTCTGAAAAGGCTCAAGTTCAAATCCTGGATTCATCATTTACTAACTCTGTTAACTTTATAAAATTACCTTACCTATCACCCCAGTTTTCTTATGAGGAAAGTAGTTTGAACATATATTTCACAGGGTTATGTAAAACATCCATTATAATAATGATGCCTATTTTTCAATAAATGGAAGGCATCATTATTATATTCTAATATTTCCAAAAAAATTAACTTCCATAGACAAAATACAATCTTAAACAAAGTACAATTAAATTATACAAGGTAAATTAACAAAAAATAGGTCATTCATATATATATATAGAAATTATATCTCCAAATCTTACTTTTTCTCATAGCTAACACTGCTATGTAGGAAAAAATTACAACATGTTCTTCTCAGTATGACTTTATCAGTTCAGTAAATGTACCAAGTACCCCCCATACACAAAGTCTGGAAAAATGATTTAGCAAGAACAGCCTGATGGTTTCCAGAGGGGAGGTGGGTGCAGGGACAGGTGAAATAAGTGATGGGGATTAAGGAGTATGCGTGTCATGATGAGCACCAAGTGATGTATGGAATTGTTGAATTACTATATTGTAAACCTAAACTAAAATAATACTGTATATTAACTATCTGGAATTAAAATAAAACTTTTTAAAAAATGACTTAGCAAAAATATAAATAAATTACTCCCTTCACCCCCATGATTGCAATGAACTATTTATGACTTTTTAACCAATGTTCCTCACATCACTTAGCTGCCTGTTGCAGAGTGGTGCGGCTGCGTTGGTATTCTGCTTATTCCCTGCCTTTAGAGCTGCATCTCTTCTTGCTTGCTCAAGCAGAACTCTTGCTCTTTCTTTAAGTTCTTCTTGTCTGGATAACATTCGATGCTTAAAAGCAAAAATACAGAATTAGAAGCTCAAAAAATATACATCACATAATCTATACTTGTAAACTAATCAATGGTTATATTATCTGTCAAAATAATAGAGATCAGAAATAAAATTGTAGCTTTGAGATTACTTACAGATAATATTAATTTTAACTAAAAGTGTAGAAAGTCTTGACATTCTGGAAATATATCTTCTTCTTTTAGAAGTTTATTTTGAGATAGAAAGCACGCGTGCGTATACATAAGCAGAGGAGGGGCAGAGAGAGGAAGAGAAAGAGAATCTCAAGCACTGACAATGTGGAGGGCGATGGAACCCTGAGATCATGACCTGAGCCAAAATCAAGAGTTGGATACTTAACCACTGAGCCACCCTGGCTTAGTGTCCCTGGAAATATAACTTTACTGCCTAAAACTGGATTACATTTAATTACATTTTTATTAGAACATATTCCCATAAAGTTTAAGGTCCATATGTATATTGTATACATTTGTCATATTTGCTAATTATAGTATAATCTGGTGTACAGTTTTTAAAAAATTTATTTCTTATAGTCTTATAGGACTGATAACAAGGTTATCTTCTGACTTTGTATGTTGAAAGATATTAAATATCTGTGACAATAATCCTTTAAATTCTTGACAACACAAAAAATTCAAAGCTATAATATTTTGTTTAAAAAAAAGTAAAACTGGTTTTGTCTAATGCTCACTTTCCTTACAACAAGACAATTAACCATACCAGAATTGGGAAAGTGTTTTTCTGGATTAATTTGTAATCTTACACAATATATTTATGGATAACAACAAGTAATGACCACCAACAGAAATCAGTTCTTAAATGAGGACATTAATTCAAATTGCAAATATCCATGTTTATAGTTCAAATTCCCTTTTTCTCCCCTGAAAGTAGTCAACATCTGGCTTTAAATTTTTTTTAATCTTTGTTTATTTGTATGAGAGAGAGACAGAGTGTGAGCAGGAGAGGGGCAGGGACAGAGGGAGACACAGAATCTGAAGCAGGCTCCAGCCTCTGAGTTGTCAGCACAGAGCCTGACTCAGGGCTCGAACTCATGAACTACAAGATCATGACCTGAGCTGCAGCTGAACGCTTAACTGATTGAGCCACCCAGGTGCCCCAACTAATATCTGACTTTAGGCAGTTATTACTATTGTTCGGATATTTAATTTCTTTTATTTCCCTTTCATTTCATAGTTTTGGTTCAATCATACATAGCATTTATGGTCAAGAAAGAGGTAAAAAACAGTAAACATATTTATGTGGTATAGTGTGAAGCTTAAAAAATTACTACATCATTTTTTGGTCTCTGAGATTTTTATGTTTTAATATAACAATTTTTAAACACTTTTCTGTAATCTTAAGGAAAGATTTTTTTTTAAGTATCCAGTTCAGTGGTTTTTACTATATTCACAAGGTTGTGAACCATCAACACTATCTAATTCCAGAACATTTTCATCACCCAAGGTTTTAAGAGGATTAAACAAAAATTCTTTGCTTAATAGATATAATTGAAATGTATAAGTGATAATGATAGATTTTTCGTCATGTTAATAGAATAGAACTGGTCATTGCATTTGAACTGGTTACAAATCAACACTTTTTAAAAACAGACAAGATTAATTAAATGAACACTGAATCTGCAGTCCAGACATCAGTTTGTTAATCCTTCTTCCACTAATAATAAGCAATGTAACATTGAACAGGTCACTTAAAAGCTATGCTGTATTCCATTACATGATATTTAAGAACCTTCAAGTCAGGAAGACCTTGGTTCAAACACTAGATATATCACTTAATTGTGGATATAAAAGTTACTTAATCTCTCTAAGCCTCAGTTTCCTCCTTTATAAAATGGGAATAAAAATAGATGAACTCTCACAAGGATATTATAAAGATAAAGTGAAAACAGAGTAATGTACTGAGCACTAGATAAATGTTAACTATTATTATATATTTAAAAATCTCTTAATGCCTCTTTTTTTTAATGTTTATTTTTGAGAGGTGGGGGAGGGACAGAGAGAGAGGAGAGAGAGAATTCAAAGCAGGCTCTGCACTGTCAGCACAAAGCCGGACGCAGGGCTCAAACTCACAAACCGTGAGATCATGACTTAGGCGAATTTGGTTAAGTGTCCAACTTCAGGTCAGGTCACGATCTCGTGGTTTGTGAGTTTGAGCTCCACATTGGGTTCTGTACTGAGCAGCCGGAGCCTGCTTCAGATTCTGTGTCTCCCTCTCTCAGCTCTTCCCCCACTTACAATCTGTCTCTGTCTCAAAAAATGAATAAACATTAAAAAAAACTTCTGAAATAAGGGGAGATCACCCTTAAAATCCCATTAGTCCTAAAACTGGTGATTAGAGTATATCATCTTTAAGATCCTATATTGGCTCTAAATTCTGTGAGTATACATACCTTTAGGGATTCCAGTTAGCTACACAGAAAGTGAAAGACTGTTTTGGTCTTAAGAACACACAGAAAAAAACTTTTTCTGATTATAAATGCAATTCATATTTCTTGTAAAAATTTTAGAAAATACATAAAAGAAAAATAAAAAATAAAAATAATAAGAGGCATCATATTCCCTGACTTCAAACTATAGAACAAAGCTATAGTAATCAAAACAGTATGGTATTGGCATAAAAATAGACACATAGATCAACAGAACAAGATAGAGAACACAGAAATAAACCGAAGTATATCTGGTCCATTAATTTATGACAAAGGAGCCAAGAATATACAATGGGGAAAGGATAGTCTCTCTAATAAACGGTATGGAGAGAACCGGACAGCAAAGGAATGAAATTGGATGCCTATCTTACACTATGTACAAAAATAAACTTAAAATGGATTAAAGACTTGAACCTGAGACCCAAAACCATAAAACTCCTAGAAGAAAACACAGGTGGTAAGCTCCTTGACAATGGTCTTAGTGATGATTTTTTGGATTTGGTAACAAAAATCAAAGGCAAAAAAGGCAAAAATAAACAAATGTAACTAAATCAAACTAAAAGTTTCTGCACATTTAAGGAAACCATCCACAAAATGAAAAGGCAATGTACTAAGTGGGAGAAAATACTTGCAAATCATGTATCTGAGAAGGGGTTACTAATCCAAAATATATAAAAACTCATACAACTCAATAGCAATGCAATTAAAAAATGGACAGAAGATTTGAATTAATGTATTTTTGGAAAACCAAAAAAGATATAAAAAGGCCATGGATACATGAAAAGATGCTCAATATCACTAATTATTAAAGAAATGCAAATTAAAACCACAATGGGATATTACCTCACAACTGTTAGAGTGGCTATTATCAAAAAGACAAGGAATAATAAGTGTTGGTGAGGATGTGGAGAAAAGGGGACCCTTATGCACATTTGGTAGGGATGTAAATTGGTGCAGGCACTGTGGAAAACAGAATGGAGGTTCCTCAAAGAAATTAAAAACAGAACTACCTTATGATCCAGAAATTCCATGCCTGGGTGTTTATCCAAAGTAAATAAAAACACTAACTCAAAAAGAGATATGCATCCCTATGTTCACTGCAGCATTATTTAAAATAGCCAAGATATGGAAACAACCTACGTGCTCAGTGATCGATACGAGCACTGGGTAAGGAAACTGTCACACACACACACACACACACACACACACACACACACACACACACTCAGTGGCATATTATGCAGCCATAAAAAATAACGAAATCTTGCTACTTGTGACATGTATGGATTCTGAGGGCATTATGCTAAGTGAAATAAGTCAGACAGACAAAGCCCAATGCAATATGATCTTACTCATAGGTGAAATCTAAAAACAAAACAAAGGACCCCAAATTGCAAAACACCAAGCTCACAGATCTAGAGACCAACTGGTAGTTGCCAGAGGGTGGGGGTAGAATGTAGACAAAATAGGTGAAGGGGATCAAAAAGTACAAAATTCCAGTTATAAAATAAATAGGTCATGAGGATATAATGTATGGCATGGTGACTATAGTTAATAATACCATATTGCATATATGAAAGTTGTTAAGGGAGTAGATCTCAAATGTTCTTGTCACAAGAAATAAAATTTTTTTTGTAACTGTGCGTGTGGTAACAGAGGCTTATTGTGGTGATCATTTCACAATATATACAAATATCAAATAATTGTATACCTGAAACTAATGTAACATTATATGACAGTTATATCTCAATAAAAAATAATAATTTAAAAATAAAAAATCTGGGGTGCCTGGGTGGTGGCTTAGTCGGTTAAGCGACCGACTTTCGCTTAGGTCATGATCTCGTGGTTCGTGGGTTCGGGCCCCGCGTCGGGCTCTGTGCTGACTGCCAGCTCAGAGTCTGGAGCCTGTTTCAGTCTGTGACTCCCTCTCTCTCTGACCCTCTCCTGCTCAAGCTGTCTCTCTCTCTCTCTCCTAGAAATAAATAAAACATTAAAAAAATAAATAAATAAAAAATCAGGGTGACTGGGTGGCTTAGTCGGTTAAGTATCTTACTTTGACTCAGGTCATGATCTCACAGTTCTTAAGTTCGAACCCCACATCAGGCTCTCTGCTATCAGTGAAGAGCCCACTTCAGGCCCTCTGTCTCCCCCTCTCTTTGTCCCTCCCCTGCTTTTGCAAATGCTCTCATTCCCTCTCTCAAAATAAATTTTAAAAAATAATTTAAAAAATAATAAAATAATAAAATAAAAAATAAAGGAGGTCCCGAGTGACTCAGTTGGTTAAGTGTCAACTCTTGATTTTGGGTCAGATCATGATCTCATAGTCATGAGATCAAGCCCTGTATCCATGCTTAGCATGGAGCCTGCTTAAGATTTTCTCTCTCATTCTCCAGCTGCCCCTCCCTTGTTTGTACTCTCTCTCTCAAAAAATAAATAAATAAAATAATGATAATTAGCAATCCTGGCACCCAGATACAATGACTAAAGAATCATGCTTTTTTTAAACTTAACATTCTATTGTGAGCATATTTTCATGTAAATGTTTTAAAAAATATTTTTAAGCACAATTTAAAACTGTTTACCTAGCACTCTATTAGTGCAGATGCTTCATACTTTATTTAACTTGTCTTAAGGTATTTAGGTTCTTTATAATTTTTCATTATGAAGAATAATGTTTTCATACACATCTTTATAGATAAATTCTTGTATAGAGTTCTGATTATCCTAGGGAAAATAATTCCTAGAGGTAGAATCTAATGAGATAAACATTTTTAAGGGACTTTTGTACATTGCTGAACTGTCCTTCAGTAAAGCTGACTGCTTTACATCTGGGCTGATTATTTTTAGTGCTTATGGTCAAATATGAAGAGATACTGTAAGTATATAGTTTAGGAGCATAGACTTCAGAGGCAGAAAAGGTTGGTTTTGAATCCAAACACTTAAGAAGTGATCTTACGCAACTCTGTAAACCCCATTTTCCTCATATATTAAATAGAATTTAACCACTTACCTCCTGGGTTATAAAGTTTAAGAGAGATACGTATAAGATATATAAAGGTCAGGCACTCAAATAAGCAACAATTAGGACTTTGGGTCTATATAGCCTAATTAAATGATCAGATTTTCTCTAATCTAATGCTAAGAGGTACTAGATGTACTATTATTTTATGAACTACTAAGAAAGAACAAACATTGTCAAACTCTAACATACTATGTATTATAAGTAACATCTTGATTTCAGAGAAAATGTGAAAAGGTGCTTAATTTAGAATTGATGAAATACAGTATGTACAAAACCCCCAGATTTTTAAGAAATTTGTCCAATTTAAAAAACTGTTAAAACTGCCCAATTTTAAAAACCTATGAAATAGTGGCAATCATATTAAAATTTTTTGTGTCAGACAATATTTCTGATAAAAAAACAAAAACATAAAATACCTTTACCTTTACCCTAAACAAAATTCTGACCACTTAACCAATGGTCAATAAACACATATATATGGAGTTATAGATAGATGTTGCCTCCATCATCCTGTGGATTTAATGTATATCATTTAAACCTTCTGAAAAGCATCACAGCATGACAGAGTTTTAGGGCGAAAAGTGCTCTTAGAGATTATTTCATTTAATATATGTGGAAAATAATATTAAAAAAATTTAAATGGCCAATTAACATGTCACACTGGTAATTAGCAGAACCAAGATGAGATCCCAGGTCCAGAGTATTTTTAATTTTTAAACATTACTTAATTTCTAGGTTTAATGAAATATATTTACCTTAAAGATCTAGGTTATAAGAAAATTCTTTATTGGGTAATACTTAGAACTTAGATTACCAAATTCTGCAGTTATTAACCACTAAATGTTTATTGATTATCTGCTATGTATGGACACTGTGATGTCTTGTGAGCTTTTTTGTCCTAAAAGTTAAAGTACTTAGAACTTATGATTTGTAACTTTTGATTAGGAGAATAGGAGCTTACTTTGTTAGCTACTATTATTTCTTTGACTCAAAGATGTACATTTTTTCTTAACACCTTAAAACCAAAAATGATGGCATTTTATAGTCTTTGTCAGCCAGATGGTAGTCAGGACAGCCATCAAGGCCTACATATGCATGTGCTTGATATTTTGGGTGGCATGACTGCAATTCCTTGATGTTTCAGTTAACAAATACTTAAAACAGTATTTCAAAAACGGAATATAACTCCAGGTTATTGTCCGAAAGCCTTATTCTGGAGCCTTCTGATAAGGTCAAGAAAATGCTATCATCAGTCAGTATTAGTGAGAAGAAAACCCCAGAGACAACTGTAGAGGAATGCTGTATTCAAAAGTTCCAAACATTTTGGTCTCAGAATACCTTCATGTGCTCAAAAATTATTGAGGATCTCAAAAAGCTTTCATTTATGTGTTATATTTATTTATTTATTTATACATAGCATTTATTTTTTTTTAATGTTTTATTTATTTCTAGGAGAAAGAGAGAGAGACAGCATGAGCAGGGAAGGGTCAGAGAGAGAGGGAGTCACAGACTGAAACAGGCTCCAGACTCTGAGCTGGCAGTCAGCACAGAGCCCGACGCGGGGCTCGAACCCACGAACCGCGAGATCATGACCTAAGTGAAAGTCGGACGCTTAACCAACTAAGCCAACCAGGCGTCCCTATATGTAGCATTTAAATTAAAAGAGAAATGTTAAAAGTGCTTATATATTCATTTAGAAATAACTATAATGAACCCCTTAGATGTTAACATATTGTAACAAAAAACAGTACTTAAAAAAGTGAGAATAGCATTATTTTATAATTTTTAGAAATCTCTATAATATCTAGCTTAATAGCAGGCAGCTGGATTCTCCTATCAACTTTTGTATTCAATCTTTTGTGATTATCACAAATCACATAGCCTCCAGAAAACGTTGCCGTACACTTGTGAGAAAGCAAAAGTGAAAAAGGTAAAAGTTCTATTATTACAATGAAAAGAGTCTCAACCGTAAGGGCTCTGAAAGAGGTTAGGAGAGCCCCAGGGTTCCCAGGTCATACCTGGAGAACCAGCGCTGTAACATCATGCTTTGGATGGCACAGAGGGTAATGCCGTGTGGAGAAACGGGAACACCACAACTCCAAATCAAAAAAAAAGTGATCCACAAGAGTCGATTCTAAATTCTAATTCTAAACCAGTTATATCTTAACAAATTTATTTGGCTTAAACTATTTTACGTTTACATAAGAGTGTTATATGATGAAAAAAATCCGTGCTTGAATAAGTTTAAAAAAATTCATTAAGGGGCACCTGGGTGGCTCAGTCGGTTAAGCGTCTGACTTCGGCTCAGGTCATGATCTCATGGTTCGTGGGTTCGAGCCTGTGTCGGGCTCTGTGCTCTCAGCTAGCTCAGAGCCCTTCAGATTCTGTGTCTCCCTCTTTCTCTGACCCTCGCCTGCTCACACTGTCTTTCTCTCTCTCAGAAATAAATAAAACATTAAAAAAGAAAAAAATTCATTCAGTAGGTATAAAATAAAATTTCTATGTGATAAGAAAACCATTTATCCTAGTTTTCTGCCAATGTTTTCCTTTCTTTCTGGTACATAAAATAATGGTATATCTTATAATTGATGGTGCCAGAGATTCAACTAAATATAGTGAATATTGTAAGGTCAAATCTGCGTCATATTCCCCTCATGGAGAGAAACTGGGATGTTACCAGAATTTTTAGCCACAAGTAACAATGGGCTGAAAATATCAATTACAATGTAACTAAAATATCTGAAGAAAATACTTTAAATGGGAAGTATTTAACTTAGCATTATGTATTTTCAGAATGATATTCCTACCATACGGAATAGTGTGGAATATATTTGACTTATTCTTACAATGAAATGTTCTGTTTTTATAGGTAAATAATATTTTGATTTGAAAAGGTAATATTCTTTATTGTTCAATCTTCAAATTTGGATTTATTTGTAGGCTTAAATTATTATATCATAAACTTTAAATGAAGCACAGGTATATTTTAGGTTTTTATACAATGGGAAATTATACTTTACCTTTAATCAGTTGTAGTATTTTAAAGTGGTATATAAACACACAAAAAAATAGAATAATTATTTACTAAATATAGGAAATCATCATCCTAACTCACTTACCTGGACTGTTTTTGTGGAATGATCTGCATGATTGAAAGTGGTTCTATCAGCATCTGGATCAGACTCTGTCTGCCTCAGGGAAGTACGTTTTTTCTTTGTAAGGTCTGCATCTCTATTGTATGAGTATCCAAGTTTGGAAGTGGGAGATAAACTTGGTTTTTTGATAGGAGATTCAGGATCTGATCTGCATTCTAAGGGTCTAGAATTCTCTAATTTTTCCTTCTCCAAGTTATTACTGATTTCTGGAGTCGGAAGCTTTTGTTCCTCTGTCTCCTCACAAATAAAGGGTGGAGACACATCCTTCTTCTTATCACTAACATATAAGTCAGTTAATTCTAAGGTCTCCACTTTCAGGAGTCTCTTCTTGCCTAACAAAACTTGTGCGTGGATTGAGTCTGTATTGTAACATATTCCAGGGTCATCGGATGCTGAAGTCCTTCCAGAGCTCTGCTGGGACTTTTGGGGTTCTGTGTCACTTTTAGTCCTGCGACAGTAAGGGGAGGATGTGCTTGGACTAAGATGATCATCAGGAGTCTGATGTTCACTTTCTGACTCTCCAACCCCACTATCATTTACAAATACAGAGTCATCTTGCGACAAGAAGTCTACTGCTCCACTGGTAGGCTGTTGCATTTCAGGCTCCCGTTTCAGATCACTAAGCTCTGCATAAAATTTTTCCTGATCAACAGAACTATTTGTATCCGTTTCATAGTTTCCAACTTTATATGTGCTTTTACTGCTGTTTTCCTCTATCTGGACAACATTCAGCTCTTGGCCACTGAAATGTGCCCTGATTTGATAAAGATAAGTCATAACAGTCAGCTTGTCAGGGATTGCTAATAAAACCATATCAGAAGGTTCCAACAACCGGGAAATTCCTATGCTGGCAAATCCATCATATGCCTTCAAAGAAAGGAAAAACAAAGATATATTGAATAGTTTAAACAACCCTTTCATTTTAAAATAGTAAAAGAACAGATATTACCTAGAAATACTGTGGTGATCATTTTACAATATATTGAATCATTATGTTGTACACCTATAACTGATAGGTTATATGTCAATTACACTTTAATAATAAAGTTATAAAAATAAAGCTTAGTTACCCTAAGAAAAAGCAAAATTTTAAAGAATTTCGTTGTTGTTGTTGTTGTTGGAGGGTATATTACGTTACTAACATTAGCGCTTCAAGAAAGAACAAAATTTCATGTCCAAACTTTGTAAACGTGGGATAGATGCAAGAAAAAAAATTCTTTATTAATAACTGAAATGTTCTCCTCCAATAAATAAGTAAAAGTGAGAATTAAAACAAAAAAAACCCTTAGAATCAATTTTTAATAAGGAACTAAGGTATAAAGAAATAATAATTAATCTGGAGCTTTATCATTTCTATCAATCTGTCTTTACCATGTTCAAGTACATGCAGTAATTTGTGAAGAAAAAGTAGCGCTAGATATCCCCAAAGAACAAAATCCTAGATTACTTGGTATAAAATACAAGTAAGTGCTATTTTGAGCCCAAAAACATAGAAACACTTTTAAAATGCCCAATTAGGACTGATTTTCATAATGAGAAGGGTGATTGCATTTTCACTTCATCCATTTTGTAAAGAATGAAATGTTTTGAGTAGTACAACCTAGTTGAGAATGTGAGGCTGCATTGTATTATTTTTGTTAACCTTTAAAATGACTGTGGCACATCAGGTTTTTCTAGTTTTGAAGAATCAAAGCTGTTTCTCAATTTACAATTAATTATTACTATCCTGAACTAACCCCTGAAAACAGCACTGTGTTGCTAGGAAGCATTAAAAATATGCCTAAAGGTTCAGATATACTCTTGTAAAAAGTAAGGACCCTCTCTTACTCTCACTTTGGAATATAAAATGTCTAGTCTTTGTAACAACCTAGATGTAGGATCATAACTCAAAGTTTTTCTTAAAATAAAGGTTAGGAAATTATGTAACAGTTTAGAAGGAATTAGTCTTTTGCACTTACATATTAAAGAGCATTTCTACCTTTGAATTTAATCCTCATCTCATAGTCTTCCTGGAGTTTAAAAAATGTTGTGGAATAAGTAAGAAAGAAAATGAAAAATAAATTGCAATATTAAAACCTCTTCATTTTCACAGCACTGTGTTTTATAATATAGGTACCTCAAAATATTTACTCAAGAGAATGGCTCAGTTGGTGTGCATGTTTAGGCCTGTTTGTTATTTTACATGTTTTAGGAAAATTAAAGTCATTTTCCTCCTCATGTGTCTTGACAACTTGATTGACAGACATCAATTGCAGACCATCATGAAAAGCACCACAGGCAGTATTCTAAACATTTCCCAATTATCTAAAACACTGACATACTGGTTAAGATCATATGTCACAGGTAAATACCTTTTTTTATTCAGCACTTTTTACAGACCTGGGAAAATGATTAGCTTCCTTGTGGGGAATCTCCTGCTGGTGTTTTGCTTCATGTAGCAATTCATTTTATGCACACTAACTGCACTAAAAAAAACATTTAAAAACAAACTGGGTTTCTTGTAAGCGAGGTCAAGACTTAATAAAGGAATCTTCCCCTAGGTTAACCTCTTTTGCTGTGGTCAATCACCTGTCTTCTCAGCTGTTTGTGTGTGGAGGAAAAAAAGAGGTCTTTCAAAGAAAATGGTCTTATTCATTCCTAGATGTTATTTAATTGGTAAGGAGGAGTCATTGCCAGTTATGTTTTACATCTGCATGGAACTTAAGACACAGGCATTGTTTCTTATGCTCCTTTAAGTCCAATCAAGGGCAGATGGGGTTATCAGGAAGAATTGTGTGAAGCCGGAAATAAATCTGCAGGTAGCAGCTGATACTCAATGTAGAGATCAGGTAGGAAGTTGCAAAGTGATGAAAAGCAAAGACTGTATAACAATTATTTATTCAATTGTGCAATGAATAGGACCATCTAAATTAAAATCTTTTCAAAAAGCCATGATTATCTACCCTAGAAGATTTGAGAAAAATTTAATAGGATATTCTTCTCTATATAGTAATATTTAAACCCACGGTTTGCTCATCATTACTAAAGTCCTGAAAAAATTATGTAAAGAAGTATGACCTAAGCCTTAAGGCAAATCTCCATACTCTTAAAAATGCATAACCAGGTAAAATCACCAATGTTTCCTTTTCAAAATTTCCAAGAGTAATTTAAAAGCTTCACTTTATAAAAATAATATGCTCTATTTTATGCTTTTATCTGCATTTAAATTAGCTTAGTATTTTGTTCAAATGCAAAAAAACAGAGGCATAGAACTTTCATATTGAAAGATATAATTTAATTGATGAAAACAGGTATTTCTTTGATAGACACAAGCTCTCCCAAGTTATGCAAGAAATAATTCATGAGAATGACCTGCTCTATGGCATACCCATCCGAGATGTGATTTCTATAAGGAAATATACACTCATATTTTAAGATTACCTTTTTTGGTGGCATATTCAATAAAAAAAAACTGACAGTTTTAAAATGTATTTCTCTAGGGCCAGCATTATGTAATTGTAAAGGTTTTTTTTTAATGACAATATAAATTTTTGGGTTTAGGTGGCAATAAAAGCAAAACATTGTTGAATTACATTCTCATCTGTTAACTGAACCTCTGTCAAGATTCCATTTTTTTTTTTAACACTGCTTGGTGGTTTTAGTTATCTGATTTAAAGTAGACCAAAAACTTTAGACCAGAGGTTATTATTATTAATCACTTTGTCCTATGAAGCCTTTTGGCAATACACCCCTTCTCAGAATAATGCTGTATGTTTATAAAATACATAGAATTACAGAAGACAACAATTATATGAAAAATAAAACAGTAAAAATTATTATAGTAAGACGGAATTTGAGAAACAGCAATATGTATACTTTCAGTGAATGAATTAACAACTGTAATTGTGAAGAAGTGATGAGCTTAAAAGATATTTGTAGATATTACAATCGCAGCTGCAATGTGATACCAATATATCTGAGATTTTTAAGGTGATAAAGTCTTAGGCATGGCTAATGCTAAAGTGGTGTGTTGTCTAAATTCATAATTAAAGGAAATGTTAAATTTCATTTAAAGAATTACGATAATAAAATACATTTCTCCCTAGCCATGTTCAAGAATTCTCCGAATTCTATTCATAGCTCCCAGATTAAGAACTCCTATTCTAAGGCAATAATGTATTCTCAGACATTGAGTTGAAGGTCAGGTCAGGTCTCAGTTGAAGAATTCAATTCAGTACAAAAAACACTTGAGTACCTACTGTGTGTTGAGTTAGTGCTTCCCTCATTTCTCATGTCACAGTGCACATATATGATTGTAATACTGTGCACTGGGGTAAATAGTTGAGTTAGCCTGCAACCCCAGTCAGCTGGCCCAGCAGCCTCTGGGTAACTCAGCCCCATATAGCTACCCTGAAGGCTGAAATAATCAATATCCCCCTGCACAGCAGTTAGGAAGCTCTGACCTCAGTATGCTAATTAATTATGTGGAAAAACTCTACAGTTTACCAGAAAATGAAAAACAAAACAAAACAAAACAAACCCCAATGTTCGTATCTTTTTGCTTCTAGGAATATATGCTTTCTTTATTACACACTTGCCTGCCCACATTCTCCCCCAAGAGATTTTTCTAAACTTTATGGTACAAGAGTTTTGGGTGAACTTTTTAAAAGTGAAATCTTGAATAAAAACAATATGCTTTAACAAATATTTAACAGTTAATGAAGTCCATACACATTAAAATCTGATGCCAGTCTGGTACTTGTGATCTTTAAAGGCCATGACAACCCACAGTAAACCATGCATACTAACTTGAACTGCAAGAAGCAGGCTATCTTCTTTCTGTGAGCTGCAGTTATGACCTTACAACACAACCTCACTCTTCCTAAATCAATAAAAGCTGCAGAAAAGCCAAATTTGAAGCTATGTTTTTTTTTTCCTTGGCAATTCTTACCTTTTTGTTGTTCTCTTTAATATCTTGAGGATTCAGAGACTTGTAGTCACTGAGGGAGAAAATGGCACAGTAGGTACACACAGTATTTGATAAAAACAGCTGCTTTTAAAACAAACTGAATCTAAAAACTTGACATTCAATAATACCAAAGAGTAACTAGCAATTTCACAGCAGTTCAATCAACAAAACTAATACTGTGGAAAATTAAGGAAATAAATAAATAAATAAAAACAGTGATTACTGTTTCATTGCCCGAAGCTTTACATCTAAGAGAGAAGTTAAGGCAGGGCACCAGAGACCCGTCTTGACAACCAAACATACCATGAGGTAATCCCTTGTTGTCAATGTACAAAGAGCTACGGGCTTATATGTCTCATCTAATTTCAACAGTAACACAATTTTCATAATAATTTAAAGTCAGTTATTTGTATGAGATTAAGAAGAAAAAAATTTTTTTTTAAAGAGAAGATTGGTTTTAGGCATCAAGAAGGGAGAACTTTTCTTTTTGGCACACTTTTCTCAAAATCAAAAGGTATAAGTAATAAAGAAAAAGTCAACTATTTCAGAACATGTATTAATGAAATTATTTATGTTTGGGGCGCCTGGGTGGCTCAGTCAGTTAAGCATCTGACTGTTGATTTCAGCTGAGGTCATGATCTCACGGTTCGTGAATTTGAGCCCCACATTGAGTTCTGCACTGAAAGTGCGGAGCCTGCTTGGGATTCTCTCTCCCCCTTTCTCTGCCCCTCATCTGTGCACATAGCTCACAAATAAATAAACTAATCAACTTTAAAAAAGGGAAATTATTTATGTTTTTAAAGAAACTATTATCTATAAAACATTTATAGGGAATGGAAAATGTTTTTACTTACATTAAATCTGGTCTAAAGTGGTGTAATATTGCACAAAAAGATAAACCGTTTCTCCATGATGTAGTAAAATTGGTGATTTTCACTCCCCGGTAGTTTTTTGTAACTTCTTTGCACCATACAAGCAATGACTGACTAGCATTTGGCTTTCGCCCCAAAACAGGACTTGGTATAGGACTTGGCTAGAAAAAAAGGAAAAGAGAAAAACATTAAAATAATTTAATGAAAGATGAAAATTAACATTAATTGACCTAAGTAGATCATTTAAACCCTTTGAAGTCAGTTTAGGTCCTTCAAAAATGTCAATTCAAGACAACTGTAACCTGCAAAAAGGAGACATGAATCTTAAGTTATTATCTTCAGTTTTAGCCTATGGCATTTGCCTGACAAGGATGTAGATATGCAAGATTTTAAACTCATACATAAGAACAAGCCAAGAGCTATACTGATGGAAACATTATATTAAAGTATTTAAATACTTAAGTCTGAATATCTGTGTAACTGCTATACCCTAAAAAATTCTCCTCAAATACAATCTTGGACAAATATAGTTCCTTTTTGACTAGATTAAAATAATGTATTTTGAAGTCTACCTGTAGCACAAATTGTTAGCAGTGGAAAGATCAAGATCCTATTAAGTTTTTTTAAATTCAGTAATCATATTTTTGATAGCAAAATGATAATCATACTCAAACATATTTCTTATATAAATTTAATGATGACAAAATAGATTAGAGTTATTAGCAACAGTCAGGCATTGGTAGCAACAGCACACAATAGTATGTAATCTGGATTTGCTCAAAATATCTTCTAATTACCACTGATAGCTACTTTTGTAGGTCAGTTAAGGGTGTGTGTATGTGTGTGTGTGTGTGTGTGTGTGTGTGAAATCTTAAGCATATACTTGGTTTTCCACTTGTTTATATATTTAAAACAATAATGACCAAAAAAAAAAAAAAACTACTTAAGATTTCCATCCTAAACTTTTATTATTCTTAAAACCAAGTCACTTTCTTTTCCAAGTAATAACCACATTTTGTGATAGTAATTGTAACGTTGTGGACTTTAAATCTTGCTAACAGTTAGGAGTGCTGATGACAAACATAAAATAGGGGCCCTTGAAAATAAGGTGAAAGGAGGATGATTATTTACCCCTAATATCACTTAAGTTTAACATGCAAACCATTCTTCCTACAAAGCTTACTTAAGGAAAGACCAATGATGCCCCCACTTGACAAAAGCATGTTAGTGCCAAATAATTAAAATCAACTCCACATAATTAAGATTATGCATTCACTGCTCCTGTGAAAAACCTAAGAAACACCAAAGATGTAATTTCTTATTTTAAATATATTTTTATTAACCACCATATTAACAAATTCTTATATAAGCCAATGTTACAAAGGGCTCTTCATTAAGAAATCACCTATACAAAGTAAATGTGGAAAAATACACATGCCATAAAATTCAATAATTTAGGTTCAATTCTACTTACTAAGAAGAGGTAGGTAAAAATGGAATTGCTAATGTAATAAAGTATTTACTTTAGATTAATAGTTCTTTTAACGACACCAATTTGACATGTACAAAAATGAACTATTAAATATCTTTTCATCTAATGGTGACTTTCCACTGTGATTTTTAAATCATTCTAGTCACTTAACCTGGGAATAGAGTGGAGAATAGTCCATGGGTGAGGTAGGGGGATCAATGAACTGGGTACAAACACATTTTTTTCTTAGACTTTCTATTATTTAAAGGATTGTCTTTAGTAAAATGTTTTTCTGTATCAAATTATATTATTAAGATATTGTTTTGTTTCAAGTATGAGTAATAAGTACATAGGCCAGATAATCTGCAACTATTATTACAATGATTCATTCCAATCATCATCAGCATGGAGACAGGTAAATGTACAAAAGTCATTATCATTATGCTACAATCTAGAGTGGCTTTCTGTAAGAATTAGGGAAAACATATCATGTCATTCTGATTATGAATATATCCTTGTTTCTAAGAAGGCTCAATATGAAAAGGCTAGAAGAACTAAGCTAAACTTTGGATTTACCCTAACACAAAACCCTTGAATTAAACATATCTTCACAGGGATGCTTGCTACACTGCCAAGAAAAAGAAATCATATGTAAATGAAGAAACTTTGATGAAATTACAAGCCCTATAACTGGTCATATTGGTTGCAGAGAAAGAAAACTGAAGAAGAAGCACTGTACAATAAATCATCCACTTCAAAACAGCTGATCTTTCATCTATTATTTTGCAGAGAGTCCTAAAGATATAAGCACTTAAATAATTTCAAAGCCTTCAGGATATGAATGAATGTAGTTGCTTGTTTCTTGCTATAGCTGGCTCCTAATGGGTGGGTTTCTTTATTTCTCTATGGTACCTATCTCATAGTGTCATTGTAGTAACAGTACTCCCTCCCCTTCCTCCCACCCATTATTGCTCATTACCACTCTCTCCTTGAGCACTTTGAACCATATTAACCTCTTTTCTTTTCCTTGAATACCCAAGACATAGCTCACCTTAGCATCTTTGTACAGATTGTTCCATTTGCCTGGATGTTCTCCTGTCAGATATCTGCATGGTTAACTCCAATGCAACCATTTTCATTATGCCTGTTCTAACAACTCTGTTTAATAATACAACCCATCTCCATTATTCAACCTCAACCCCACACTCCTGATCCCATGGTCCATATACTTTATTTTGGTTATTACCAAAATATGCTTATGGGTCATGCTTACTGCTTATTACTTTGTCCATTCTCACTACAGAAAAGGTCTATGAAGACAGGAGTCTTAGTTTGTTTTATTAGCTTATCCTAAGGGTCAGCAGGAACTCAATAAATGCTGCTAAAGAAAACAGATGCAGACAAAACACTTGGCACAATGTATGGCACACAGAAACAACTCAGTAAATGTTAATTACAATTACTGAATTCCTATTTTTGAGGGTCTTTTGGAAACTTCAAAGGCCATGAATTTCTTCAAGATTAGTGAAAAATATTTTTGCAAACAAAGCTTTAAATGGAAGATAATCTTGATACTTTATGTGCAAAATGGAGTACTTGGAATTCTTGGCATTGTATCTAAGATATTTTATGAGTCTGGTGAAAAAAGCAGCTCTGAGTGACTCTAATTTAATGCTTTCCAAAGAAAGGAAGACACCAAAATCTGGTCATTAATAGTAGAACCAAACTTTCAGATGTTGGAACAATTCTTTAATAAAAGTTCTTTATTTTATTTATGCAGTGACCAGATGTATGAGAAGATGTCTTTATTTAACATAATGGGAAAGTAAAACACAGATATTACAATTATCTTTTTTATGTATGAGAGGAAATTTCTAAGAACCATTCTCATTATAACTTTATAATCAGATTAATCAGAATCTGATTGATTTTGATGAACTGGTCTGCTTAATTAGGTAATCCTTCCAGTTCTCTCTACATCAAGCTACTATATGGATGAAACTGTATCAATCTCAGCTTAACCAAAAACTACAAATAGATGTCAATCATCATGATTACAGAGCCAATTTGAAAACATTACAGTAAAGAGGAAATAGGACTTGAAACCACTGTTAAGTGAAACACTTAACAATTGTTAATATTTCACTTAACAATGATGTGTCCTAGTACAGATAATTTTAATGCATTGTTTCTGTTAACATAGCATTTTACATATAAAAGATAGTAAGGCCACCTAGTTACTCTTGCTATCAATGGCAAGACAAATGCTTTCAGAAAACCTAGTCAAATAACTTGTTACAAAAATTCCTAAATTTTAATAGCTGCAAGAAAATTCAATTCCATTTTTTCTGCTCTACCCCTCTCACTACAGTTGCTTTCTCTTTGCTCTTTCCTCCTCTTCCACTGATACAAGCACATGTATCAGTGCTCTAGGTATTGCTCTAAATAATTTTTTTCTCTTTCCACACTTTGAGCTGATTCACTCCCAGGATTTCAACTATCACTTCCATGCAGATGATTCCCAAATATACATTTATAGTTCAAACTATCTCAAGTTGACATTTCCAGCTGGCTGTCCTTCCTGCCATATAAAATTCAAACTCAATATGTTCAAAACCATAATTATAATCTTTCCTTACAACCTGCTTCATTTTCATTGTTTATAAATGATACTGCTATTGTCCCAATTATCTAGACTTTTAATTTCACAATGAGCTTTGACCTCCTCCTTCTCCTATCATCCCTTATTAGTAATTCATAGGAAATTTTGATCCCATTGCTATATCCTATCTTCTTTTCTCTAGCTATTGCAAAATCTTCCTAACAGGACTTCCATCTTTCAAAATTCTCCTTTATCTGATTCGTTGCCATAGCAACAATCTTCTTGAAGCACAGGTCAAAGTTTCTAAAAACTCTTAAACACACAAAATGACATCAAAATACTTTTGAGGAGTGAATCCTGAATCTTTTTCAATGTATCTACTCTCTAGGATGATTCATCATTCTACAGAATCACTATGGTTTCCTCCCTAACCCCAGGTCCCCTACTTCCTGTCTGTGATCATACAGATTGTCACCCCATTTTGGAGTATCTTCTGTCCCAAGTACACCTGCTACAATTCCACTCCACCTTCAAGATATTGCACAAGAGGGACGCCTGGGTGGCTCAGTCAGTTAAGCATCCGACTCTTAATTTCCAACTTGGATCATGATCTCCCAGATTGTGAGTTCAAGCCCCACATCAGGCTCTGTACTGACAGTGTGGAGCCTACTTGGGATTCTCTCTTTCTCCTTCTTTCTCTGCCCTTCCCTGGCTTGCACTCTCCCTCTCTCTCAATAAATAAATAAATAAACAAACAAACAAACTTTAAAAATGTTTTTTTAAAAGACTACTGCACGTGAAATCTTTCCAACTTCAGTCAGTAGGAATTTTTGATATTCCTATGACTCTCATATAGAATTTTTACTACAATATGTTATTTCTTCCCTCTACAAAAAGACTTATTAATTTTTCATTAATCCATACAGTATATTCTGAGCACTTACTATGTCCCACAGGCAATGTTAAAACCTTTACATGGATTAGCTCATTTAATCTTCACAATTCCTTTGTGATAGGTGCTATTATTCCCAATTTCAGTTGAGGAAATTGAAGTTATGCAGCTAAAAAGGAAAGGAGTTAGAATCTAT